TGAGCTTGGTTCTTTTCTTGCAAACATTTCACTACCTGGCTAGGTAACATCTTCAGTGCTAGAATGGAATGCAATCATCAACCAGATAAGCAGAGATTAACACCAAGATTACCACCTGACATACAAGCAGTAAACAATACCTTAATCAAGGAACTACCAGAGGAAAAAATAGAACAATCCCCACCCCCACCATGGGCAGGCCACAGTATATAAACAGAGACCAAACCCTGCTCCAGAGGTACAAGAGAGGATAGGCAACAAAGAAGATGGATCCATACTAATAAACTCAAAATGTGGATATAGCGCATAGTGTCTGTTTTTGTTTTTACCACAATATATGTATGATTTACAAAACATTATTTTATTCGGACTGCTTTACTGGAAGAATGTGAGGCATGGTATCAGTCCAAACTATGCACTAACAGAGTAGGCAAAGTTGGGTAGATGGACCTGTGGGCAGAATGAAAATGGTCCAGAGGAGGAACATTTTCATAGCATAACCTGAATTCCTCCATGTCTCTTCAGTGGTCCAACTGCACCCCCAGAAGATATGATACAGCTCAAAATAAAAAGAAAATTAAATATTCCTTGCCAATAGTAATGAATGTCCCACCCACATTGTTGCAAAGGTATACAGAATGAAGATATATTTCTTTGTTGTTATGTGCTGCATACAAAGTAATCTGGTTATGGAAAACAATGGAGAAAGGACATTTTGCATGTAAAGCATTCAAGGCTCATGGTGTATAGAAGTAGTTGTGTGGGTATGTGGGGCTTATACAGCAACATAATAAGCAAAAGAGAAGCTGTCGATTTAGTGAAGACAAGGCATGAGACACACTATAGTTATTTTATTGAGTTCTTATGCTAAAGTTCCATATAACAGAAACATTATTTTAATGCATTTAGAATTAGGTTTTAATTAGTACTAGTTTGATAAGACATTCTTGGTCTACGCCAAACCCAGTGGAAATAATACTTAAAGGTATCCAGGCAACATTTGCTTGAATTATAGTAATTAAATGATCCTTCCTTCTTTTCCTGTATATATTTGTATCTACAAACAATGGCCAAAAACTCCAGGTCCCAGAAAGCAGTACTACTATCAGTTTGTTTTCAAACAGCTTTACTCACTAAACTTAAGTGCAGCATTGCTTTTTAAATTTCCCTGAATCTGAAAATCTATTTAGGCTGTTGTCGCAATAGTCACAGAAAGAGATACTGACCTGAAATCTGGTGCATTGCTTACAGTTATGGAATTTTTTTTTTTAATTTGCGTATTTCCTGAGAACCATTTAAATATTGTAGGTCAGACTATAATTAGTGTAATATTTTTTATTTTAAGAAAAATATTACCCAGTGGCAACTATAAAATGAGATTCATTTGGTTGGGTTTTGTATTGTTATTTCATATTATTCTGCTTTGCTAGCCACCTTTGGCTCTTGCGAATATTAAAGAAAAGTGGCCAGCTTGCATTAGACATAATGGTGCTGAGCAAGTTGAGGATGTTGCTAATAATTTGTATAAATTCCTGAGAAAGCCAATTTCAACTTTAAAATTAGTCTGTTACATAATTTGGAGTTCTTAGTAAAGGGATAATTTGACTAGCTGGAAGAAGAGGAAAAAAGATCCATTTACAGCTTGAAGGAACCTGAACTTAAATCATTTTTTTTTTCTTTCATGTATATTCATGTTCAGACCTTCAAATAATGCGTAATGGAGTCTCACCAAAATACGTGGGATAAGGCGTAACAAATCATTATAGAAGATAAATTATATCAAAAACTTTTGCAATTCTATACAACTCAGCTATGAATAATTAATAGTGAATAAAACCCCACAGTTCTAAGTCGTATTTTGTATTTTTTTTTTTGGTTTGTATTTTGTTTGTACGTTTGCCTATGTAGTTTGCTAATTTGTATTTACAGATGCCTCATATCCTCAAGTCTGCTTGGGTATGAATCCAAGAGCACATAGAGTCCCCAGGCAGGGAGAATATTGTTGTGAAAAAGGAATGAAAGTAAGTCCAATTGTATTTTATTGCTAGTGTTGGGGGAAAAAAAAAAACTTCATGATAAGTATATAGTCACTTTACGGTCTTCAAGCTGATGTTAAAAATAAAGAATATAGATACAAAAGAGTGAAATACTAAAAGCAAAGTAAAAACAATGACAGCAACAACAATAACAACAAAACTTTAAAAACATCCTTAGGGGGAACTTTCAATAACATTTTCTCCTTCCCTTCCATTGTTTACAACCACTAACTGCTACTTAAGTATTTGTACTTTTTTCATCATTTACATTACATTATGACTTCTATCTTTGTCTATAGTTTTTTATTAGTCTCTTAATTCTTTTGTTTAGAAGCCAAATGTATAAACTTGCCTTGCTGTGTGATGTATCCTATGTAGTAGAGCCATTCCTGCTGGAATTTAGTTAATCTTGTGTTATGAATATATGTGTGTGTGTGTATGTGCATATATAGTCAGTTTTGCCATTGCTGTTTATTCTTTGATTTTGATCTCTCATTCTTGTATTTTTGGCAATTGTCACTTTTCCAATGTTGTGCCAAATTAGTTCTTGCTGCTGTCAGCAAGTATCTTACTGGACTGTGATACTTTTAGTTCATATTCTCTGGGATTATTCCTAAGAAAAGTGTGTGGTTTCAATTCAAATTTTATTTTTAAGATTTTCTTAATATTTTTGTCTATTTCCTTCCATTTTTGAAATCAATTATATCATCCAACTATTTACCTTGGGATTTAAGATTTGCAGAATTCTGTGAAAGAAATAGGATTTTGCAATCTGATGTCAGATCAGTATACATAATGGAAAATATAAAGACATGATGATTTTATCTCCACAAATTCCTGTAAGATCAGTATCAATTTCTGAATACATGATCAGGAAGGTGCAGATAAATTTATGTCCTGCTTTTGGACTTCGCATAGTTATCTGACTGACTATTATGGGAACAAATTCCTGGATTAGTTATAAATCCTTTCATTTATGAATGTTGATGAAGCCACACAGAGCAAGAAAAGAGCTTAACTGTGGTATTATCTGTTATAACAATCATAACAGAAATTGAGCTAGAGCAAAATTGTGTTGGCTTAGAGGAATATAACAAACCATGCTCATTACATAGTTACAGTGGTAACAACCCTAATTCAAATTTTAAATTGTATATGTTGCTGGGAAGGGATACTTGGTGACCGAGTTGTTGAGGAGAGATCCTCATGGGGCTCACACACATTTCTACAGTGAAGAAACAGCCATAAATGGACTAGTTTATAATATTTGGGACACAAAAATCTGGACAAATATTAGATGTCAGTAAAAACTTGGGATTCTAGCTGGTTGTGCTGCCATTAAGTGGTTGTTTGGATTTTTGTGACAAGATATGGGCCATTTCCCCACTTGTACTAACCATGACATGGACATCTTCCAGCAGCCTTTCTCCCACCATTGAAATGTCCCCCAAGCATTGCTTTCATCTTCCCCAATTCATATCTGAGATTGCTTAAAGTAATATTTGACTGTTCCAGTATTAAATTAGTGTTTTTCCACTGAGACAGCCAACAAGCTGTGCCAATTTTTCCATGGGTATGATCTCTAAAGTTCACTGACTATTTGTTCTGTGTCACAGGTAAATAATCCCTAGGGAGTGGAATCAGCCTGGCATCTATTGACCACTTTAGGCTGGGGTAGACATGCCCCCTCTCCTCCAATCACTGTTTGGGGCAGAGGGGTAGAATTGTGATATTTTAAATAGGTTTTTCCCATGTATCCACCAGGTCTTTGAGCCAACTCCCACTTTGAAGACCTGAATCAGCCTGAATAGCCACTTATATCAGACAGAGTACCCTCTCTCTCTCTGTCTCTCCCTCTCCCCCCTCCCCC